TTCTTGCCCTATCTGAGATATTGCAGTGTACAGGGTATTTATTGATCTGGTCAGTGTAAATGTCCTAGGTACGTACATTCGGTCACTTAACAATGCTGTCAGTTTGCCATTATGCTTCCAGAGAACCAGTACACCCTATTTATGGATTTGTTTCTCTCCACTGGCCTTTCAGTAGCTCGGACAAGTATTCCTTAGGAGTGGCTCAGTAAAAATCTGTAATTGCTCTGAAACACCCCTTAGCAACCATCCAAGGACATTATTCTCCAAATACCAGATCTGTGAAAGTACTTTGCTGTCTGAAACCCATATATGGAAATTCCAGTAACAGAAACACAGTCTTTGAAATAATAACAAATAAAGAGTAAACTTCTCTTTGTATTTACCCAGCAATTAATTCCTAAAACACAATAAAAGGCTAACCCCTGATGCAAGTGAAATAGACTGCAAGGCCTGTTAAAAAATGATTAGTGTTGAATAATTTCTGTACATGGAACTGTATAAATACGAAACACCAGGGAAATGCACTCTAAGAACTAAGAGCGATCCAGTTAATGATTGTTCATTCATACCGAATTGCAAGTTAAACACCGTTTCAGGTATTCACGTGTGTATGCTTGGAGGGAGAAGGTCCCCAGTTAAAATTAAGGAGAGGAGTAGTCTTTGTGCTATGACCAGTGGAAGGAAATAGATGTACGTGATGTGACATAGCAGACAACCACGTAATCTTGAATAATGGGAATATGTGCAGAGAAAAAAGAGAAGTTTGGCAAAACAGTGACAAAATCAATACGACTTTGAAATGGTTATGTGTCTTGCTACATTGTCTTGCTAGTTAAGGAGAAATGAGTACATGGACATATCCGAGTGTTCAGTGCAGCAACTTGCTGTAATGCAATTAGAACAAGTAAAGGATCAATATATAACTTCTTTTCACTTAGAAGACCAAGTGATACTATATTATATCAAGTCATCACGGGAATTGATCATCCTTTCCATATCTGCCTCCAGCTCCTGTCAAATGAAAATCTGGCTGAAATAAGTCCTTGTTAATGAGTCAGGATATCTAAAATCAAGATGAAGTATTTAATATGTGTCACAGTTACATTTTATTAGTGAAAATACTAACTGGTTTGCTAGGAGCTTCAGCACCCACTTCGGACATAGTAATTAAAATGATACTTGAGACAGTCCACTTAAATATTTCATCTCATCTGGGGTTCAGAGACCTGCCAATGCTGCTTGGTCTCAGCTTTCCTCTGTACTGTCAGATCTATGGAGGAGAACTGAGAATTTCCCAATGCTGGATGTTTTTCTGCTGGTGCGGTTTGTCACCTCTGTGGATGCCAGCTGAGCCACAGGACATTCTTCCATGTAGGTTTAAGCTCTCTATTGCTGAAATAATCATTGTGCCTTCAGTTCAACAAGCTAATTTTACCTAGTGGATTGAAGTCCAGCTTGCCATTGCCCCGTATGCAGTAAAGACAGGGATATATTCCAACATTGGAAGACGTCTGCAGATAAAATTTTATTTTTACTGTAATGCTTGTTACAGCACAGAGTAAAGAACTCTAATAAAACTCACTGGTGAGTTTTGTACTTATAATAGTAACCGTATAGAAAAAGTAACATGGAAAGGTTTTTATTAACTGCTGGTGTATATTTTCAGGAAAAAATGTGAACACTCCCAGCTGAAACTCTCTTTAAGAATTTGGAAGCTCCAGAGAGCTGAGCTGATGAAACAGTTGTTCATCATTCCAAAACCTGCACCCTTGCTTAATTCTAAGAATAGTTATACATAACCTGCTCTGTGCTTGCTTTTTTTTGGTCTTCATTCTGAGTGTTTAACAACTTCTTAATGTGAAGAATTTTAAAGCAAAATATTTCTGTTAATGAAATAATGTGTTAATGATTTTGTCACAGGTTTTAGAAATTATTTCCAAAAATATACTGTATCCTTCCTTGATAATTAGGAAATGTCATCTGCCCTTCAGGAATTTATTTTTTTTTTTTTAAATTACTTAAAGTTGAAATAATTCATGCATTAACATAGTTATCACTGAAGATTAAGAAAGTAATCTGTTCAGGTTATTGGACATCCATCATCAACACGGATGTAACTGCACAAGCTCCATTTCATCACTGGCAGCTGCTGAATGGAGCAGTACTTTTTCCATCATGATGATGGATGCAGATGCACATTCTCAGCTCTGACCTCAAATTGCAGCTGCAACATACTTCTGACATGTTTTCCCGAAACAGGTCATTATACATGGCTGTGTACCTTATACAGAAATGTGTTTTAATATGTAATAAAAATTCCTTAACAATAATGTGTTTCTCACTTCAAAACTAAAACCTTTGAAAATGAAGTAAAATAATGAAATGGTAAATTAGAAAAATGGCAAATTGGAGAAAGCTGCACAGCAATGGCTCAAGATTGGTATTAACCTGTGCTGGTTTTATCTGTTCTTTCCAATTCACTGCCTCTGATCGTTCTCTGTTACCTCTGTCTCTTGCTGTTACCATTAGCAGTGATATTTTCTATCGTAATTAATTTATAAGAGGAGAATCTCATGGGGAAAAAGGGCTGAAGGACTAAGGCCTTTGCAAATGAGTATATGGCAGCTATCTTCTGTCAGCAAAGGTTGTGTATATCAGCAGTGTGAGACTTACAGCCTGCTTCAGAGGCGCAATAAATACTGGGTTTTGATATAAGGATCTGCATGTAGATATGACTGTGAATGGTGGGCAAAAATTATATATGTTACAGGTCTAAAGAACACTGTTATTCTCAATCTGCTTTCTTTGTTAAGTAGCTGATGCTAATTAAGAAGGTCAAGCATTTCCTGTAAAACCACGTGTCTGATTCAGGTTTCTGACAGAGGAAAAAAAGGTTAAACTGTGTTATTGTAGTCTTTCCTCATTTTTTAATATAATGGTGCACAGTACTTTACCCTCTCCTGATTAAAAGAAAAATGTGACCTGTAACAGCGGTTGAACTTTTTTTAAAAATTCAGTAGATTTGAAGATTGCTGAATTTTTCTCTTGGTGATGCTACCTCTGTTTGAAGTCTCAGCTTACATGTCATCAGAGCCTGGCTGATACCTTTCTGTGGGTGCTGGGCGTACCTGCAGGTGGATTCAGAGACTCATCTGAGCTGTTGGGGGTGTTTGTTGCTTGGCCACAAAGCAGCAAATGGGTTGTGTTACCATTCAGCTTGAAACTGAGGAGTTCTCTGCTTTCCTGGTTATTTTGTTATTTAAATATTATGATAAATGTACATGAAAAGGGAAATATTTTGGTGTGAGCATTCTAATTTCATAAACATTCGCTGGTTCTTTATAGCTGTTAGTGTTAAGTTTCCTAAGCCTAGGAAATACTAGTTTTTATTAGCCTGTTAGTGGGCATAAGATCAGAGAGTCACTTTAAATGATTTCTTTTGGTAGAGAAAAATGCAGAAATGAGACTGTCTCACTCTTAGCTAAATTCAGATTTGTTTGGGTTTGGCAGACGAAGGAGAAGGGAACAGACTCTCTGGTTGGTGGTTGCATCCTCTGGTGGGGAATAGTCTGTGGCCGTTCTGACATGGGCTGGGAAGGAAGCATGCTAAATGGTTCAAGTGAAAAATGCAGGTTTTTTCCCTTTCTTTTTCAAACATCCACTGCAATACATAAGACTACAGACAGTTGTGATAAAAGATGCTGCTTTTGTCTTTTTTTCTGTCAGAGGAGTGGCAAGAATGAAATTCCAGTGTGAATCTGTCTCAAGGACATAAGGGATTAATGTCTTAAAACAGACACCATCACCTTAGAAATTTATTTTCCACATTTGAATATGATGAATTTTGCAGTGAAAAGATTGGGAAAAAATGGTATTTTGTCTGTTCTTGCAGCTTATTTGTGGATTTTCAGATAACTTGTTTACAAGATAGTTAAATTCTGCAGAATCTTAAAAACTGTTGCAGTTCTATGTGCTTAAGCATGCATGCTTCCATTTTGCAGGGTTATTTTAAATTCTGGTGATTGCATGGCACTACAAACTCCTTTTTGCTAGTAGGACCACGAGGCAACTTGGAGGTGGGCAGTGAACTCGGGAGGACACACACTGCCTTCAGGAGGGATGATGGTGGAAGTGGGGCCACTGCCCGTTTCAGCTGTGTGCTTCAGGGGATATGTATCTTTGTAATTTGTTCCCTTCTTTTTCTGAGTCTCCAGCACCAAGGGTTTTGTTTTCTCAATTCAGCAGATTGTGTTCTGCCAGCTTGGTAATAACTTGGATATTTGCTGCTGGGGGTCCAGAGCAAATCTAGGCAGAAGGACTGATATTGCCAGCTCTGGACATGTAACAGAGCATATGCAGTGCTCCTTCCCACTGACGGGCAGTGATGCCAGCATTGCCAGAGGAATGAGCATGGCATATTGTTTCTCCCGTATGCCTGATTATTTATTTATGCATTCCGATTCATAATAGCATAATAACAGACTTGAAACAATAAGATAATTATTTCGCTTCTTGGGTGGTTAAGATTAACTGTGCTCGTTGCGTGTTTATTCAGTAAAAAGATACAAGATGTTTAGTAATTGCCCAGAAATTCATTATCTGCACAATGTTCTGTTTCTAAATGTGTATTGCATGACCATTAATCTGTGCCAACAGCAAACATGCAGCAATGTCTGATGTAATTAGTTTTCCCCTTACATGCCAAGGAGAACATCTGGGCTAATTGCGTGTTGTTGACAAAAGTTGCCATTCTAATGGGGGTCCCTGTTTGCACGCGCACACACACACACTCATTATACGTACAGAGATGCTCATGATTTCAGTTTATCCTCAAGATAACTGATAGTTCTTACTGATGAGATACTCATGGTGATTTGTTACTGGGGTCATCCAATGTCTTTGGGCAGCATTAGTAAATGTTAGCAGGAATAATATGTGCTTCTTTTAAATAGAAAAACAAACCAACCTGTAATGCTGCTTCTACTCTTTTGTTTTTCCAGCCACCACTGGTCCAAGCGATTTTCAGTGGCGATCCAGAAGAGATACGGATGTTAATCTACAAAACTGAGGATGTCAACGCCTTGGTATGTGACTTGGCATGTTATGTGCCTGCGATACGTAAGCACCATGCTTATGAACTCTTGCAATGACAGTGTTAATCATAATTAATACATAAAAGAATGGAAATTATTTGGAAGTTAGAGATTTGGGGCTTCAGTGGAATCCTAATTAGTAATCCAAAATGTCATTATCTCCAGCAGGTGATTTTATATTTTCTAAGTGTATAGTAACGCAATTCCAAATGTGTAGGTCAGTCAGGGACATTGTTTTCTCTCTTACTGAGAAAATGAATGAAAACAGCTGAAACCTGCATATTTTCACTCTCTGTAGAGTTTCCATTTATGAAGAGTCTTTGCAGATCAGGAGCTGTTGTTCAGCTTTTGACTCTACTTGAAATAATGCTTCACTATCAGTCTCAGCAGTGAGAGTAAGGAAGCAGTATCTTGGCTGCAGTTTGCCCACAAAGGAATTACAGTTCTGCAGATTGGCTTATTCTAGCCAGAACAATGGTAAGCAGCTGTAAACAAGTAGCAGTTAAGTGTTTTGGCAGGGAAAAAAAAAATCTCAATTTGAACTCGGTGTTTTTGCAGAAGTTGGTGGGTTTTTTTTTCCCTCTTTGATTTTAACTTAAATTAATACTGTTAGAAGTGAACCCTACCAGTCCTGACTCTGTGGCCTATGAAAGTGGTGAGAATATAAATCAAAAACAGAATGGTGATTTCCAGGTGTTTCCTGGACTTTTGAATCAACCTTCCTTTTCTTCATGTCTTTCTCTGACACAAAGCCATCAGTTTACTCATAGCTAGCTCCAGCAGTTCATCTGGTGTAGTCTTGGCACCGCAGCTTTTGCAGGCAGTGAGGTCTAACCATCTGGTTCAGAGCTGCAGAAAGGAACTGGAGAAGTGATCCTACAGATCTGGTTAACTGAGGCTCTACTCTGCTGTCAAATGGAAGGAAAGAATTGCTGCTGTTTTAAAGGGGAATCTGATCAAAGAAGACCTTGACATTAGGCTTTCCTTGTGATTATCAGTACCTGGTTGTTTTCTTGAAGTAAGTTCCTGAAAGTGCTTCCATAAAGCATCACCTCCCTTGAGCTTCCTCCTTATTTGTTTTCCCTGATTGTCTTAAAAAAACAAAGAAAAACCCTAAACCCAACCAAACAAAAACCCCAACAACCTGGATGAACATGGTAGACCAAAAAGTTCCTCTGTATTTTATGTTGGTTTCTCAAAATAGCATTTCCTGTGCAAGGTTATTGTAGGCTTCTCAAATGTTTTTATATCCTTTGGCTGCAAGTGTGGTAGTGATGGTTGCTAGGGAGACGCTCTCAAATGTCGGGTGCAATATAAATGAAGAATATGTATTTCGTAGATGAGTCCTATAGTACTTAATAGAAAAAGCCTTTGAACTTGAGTGGTCTTGCCCAGAATCCTGTTTGAGATGCTAAAAGTCCATCCAAGAATGCTTTGCCTGAACAGCTATTTTGTCAGGAGCAAAACCCAAACCTATTCTTTGGAGTAATTAGAAAAATGCAGGCCAACATGAATTCTGAAGTTTGTATTCTGGATAGTGATTACAGACAAGTGTCAAGTGCTTCAAATGTCTCTAAAGAAAGATCAAAAGATAGATATTCCCCCCTTGTGCTGTGAGCTGGCAATTTGCACTGCGTGCTTACATTTCTATTTTAAGGGTGTTTTTAATTACTTCCATGTTAGTGTTTCTCTAGTGCTTGGTTGCTCACGTGAGAGGAAACTCTGACACTGTTTGGCAGCGATTTGTCCTTTGTTGATCGTTTTGGTTAGCTGTGTTAATAATGGAGTAGTTCAAATATAGGTAGGACAGGGAAACAAAATAAAACTGGTTTTGCAGCAAGCTTTGGGGATTTCTGAAGTTATAAACATCGGGTTTTGGAATCTGCAGTAAGAGAGGTATTTAGAAGGCAGAAGAAAAAAGCGCATGGAGAAACTATGCAACGTTAGTGATATATATATATGTGTACTTCCTAAGAGAAAATTCGTCTCAGAGGAAAGAGTTTAGAGCAAATCAGAAGTTTAGAAGGTTACTTTTTTTTTTCTTTTCTTTTTTTTTTTTTTTGTCTGATAAAGTGTATGTTGATGGAAATGGCTACATTTTGGATGCTGCTGTAATTGGGACTTCTATTTTGCAACAAAGTGAAAGATGTAACTTTTTGGCTTTGAAATGTGGTTTTAGTTAATTCTGCTGCTGTAATGGTCCCTAGCTGTGCTTTGGGGAACATTTTGCACTCTGAGGGCATGGACAGGGTTATACTTGACTGGTGGTAAGCAATGCCTTACCACTAAGTGCTGAACATGTGTTGTTTCCGTGGGAAGTGTGGTCTGCCTGTGGGCAACGTTCAGCAGCCTGTTTTCCCAGCGCATTTGGGATATTGGGTTGAACCATCCAGACCACCAGATTAGTTTCAGTCAGCCATCCTTCACAGTTGCTGCTTGTACATTTAGAAATATCAGGATGATTGTGCTATGTGTGTGTAGGTGGTGATTTTTTGGGGTGATTTTTTACTTTGAGAAGAGTGTGATGGAGTGGCACAGAGCCTTGAGTTCATTGAGGGATTATTCAGGATCCAGTGGTAACCCCTGGTTAGCTGGGATTTATAATGTACGCAGCTGTGCAACACCTTACGTAAGACCAGAAGTCTGGTTCTTACGTGCAATGTTATGATCTTCTACTAAAGCAAAATCCTTCTGTAAAATTTCCATTTTCATCTGTCTTCTCGTTTAGTTTTCCTTCAGAATATTCGAAGTCAAACAAAAAAGGCAAAAAACCCTTCCAATATTCTTCACCATAGCTGATGAGATGCTTGCAAGCCAAACCAGACATTTCTTTCCCTCTGTTTTTCCTCTTTATTCCCTAATCTTGCTTTTTCTCTCGAATAAAACCCTAAAAAACAAAATTTATGCAAAACTTTGATTTCTCCAGAATATCTTCTATTGCATTCATGTTTTTGGCAAAAGAAATAATATACCCCTTCACCCTAGCAGTGAGGCTGTTGAAGGCAATATCTGCTTTCCCAATACTTAGTTGCTTCTATTTCAAATGTTGGGGCATGAGTGCTGATACTGCCTTCTTGGCTTGATCCATGCAGCCTCTTTGCTCAATGCTTTGGCAGATGGAAAAGCTGCTGCTTTTCACTGCACATTGGTGTCAAATGCCGCTTGTGCAAATGCTTCCCACACATTTATGCCAAATCGAGATGGGTTAGGAGGTAATGGTTTGGCTGAATTTGTCTCATTTTCATTAAAGCAGAGTTGCAGAGCCAGCAGATCCAAGTGGGCTGCAGTAACTCCTTATGGGTTCAAGCCATGTTGAGGTATAGTGACCCTTGGCATCACCTGCCCATTTGTAGCTTTGGAGCAGGTCTGTAGAAGAATGGGCACCAGCAGAGATTGCAAGGCCTTACACACAGGAGCATGTATATAGAGGGTGGTTTATTACAGGATAAGGAAGGCAAGAAGGAAGTCATTATGGGGAGACATGGGTCTATGCTGTTTATGATTTCTTTTTCTTATTATCCTACTTGTTAAGGCATAGATTTGCAGGACTGTCTTTGTTAGGAGGATTCGGGTCTTCACACACAGAGAAGATATATTTTTCTGTACTACTGCTAAGCATGCTTTTTGAGGTGGTATGAGTGCTTGAGGCTACAAGTGCACACACGTTTAGGATTGTGAGTCTGAAAGGCTTTGCATGCTTGGGATAGCTAATGTGAAAACCAGCTTGTCATTCAGTTTGGAGTGACATGTTTGATTTAGGACTAAGAGAGACTGTGATGTGGTATTTCAGTAATCTTGGGAACCAAACCCTCATCTCTGCTTTCATCCGAGGAATGTTGATTTTCTTTTTGGCACTATGGAGTCTTGCAGGAGAATAATGCTATCTGGGAAGTAAATGCTCCTCTTCTAAATGTAGTTCTGCCATGCTGGAAAGTCTTCTGGAGAATTTATCCGAGAACTTTGGAAGGCTTCTGCTTTGACACAGTATGACAGTTTGGTGCTAATGCCTGTGTTTTCAGTGGGTATTTAGCCTCTAGTAGTGCTGTTTGTTATGCTGTTAATTTACAAGGGGAGTGCTGGAGATTTTTTTTTTTCCTACAGAAGGAAATTATCAACAATTCTCAGGAATGTAAGGAAACCGAATACTAAAATTGCATTGGTTTGTGATGCAAAGCAACCATCATGACTTCTGTTTAGAATAAATATTTTTTCTTTTAGAAAACACATAGAATTTTTTATATTTTATAAAGAAGATGTTTGAACTATGAAGAAGATTCTACTGGAGTTTACTGAGAGTCTGAAGTATTGGGAGTTGCTTTGTACAGCATGCTGGTATACTAGTGGATACTAAGTTTTATATATTCGTATCTGTGCTGGTGACTTATGTTATTCTTGTCCTCAAAATGTTCGAGTCAGTTAAGGATCTACAGGCCATTAAAAGCTTATGGCAGGGTTTGGCTGTAGCTGCTTTATTTTCTCCAACTCTGAAATACCTGAATTTTCTACATCTGCTCACGAGTGATGTACGCTTCCACGCCATCAACCCCCCCCCAAGTCAATATTGCATTTATAAAAATGGAGGAGTTACTTAACTCTAGCTTTTGAGTGGAAACACTGCTATAAACATTAAAATATTTCCATTAATTTAGGATACCAGTTTCTACAATCTCAATCTAGGATTAGTAATTAATTTTAAAAGTTATCTTTTTCTAGCATGAAAGCTACTGTCAGCCTCATGGAAGGAAAGTGTTAGATGGGGGAGGAGAGGGAAGATAATTTTTCTTGTCTCTAGAAGATCAAAGTATTTGCCTCTTCCACCTCATGGGCACTTGGCAATTAAAGACTCAGTCCGGAAAAATCTTTGTTTCTGAGGCTAAACTGAAGGCTGGAGGGATGAGAAGTGCTGGAACCAGGATCTGCTGTTTGAGACAGGAAATTCTGTGCTTGGTAATAGCAGAAAAAAGAGCATGAGGCGTAAGTTACACAGCTTG